GGCTTAAAGGTACACTTATGAAAACGAAGAGTGGTTATTTTTGACATGACAACAATCGGGCGGCCATCAGCTTTGAACATTAGACTCGTTTGAATTTAGTTGGGTATCACAGGAAAGCCAACTTGATGTGCGTACGAGTGTATTCCACTTTCAGTTCAAATGGAATTTGAGGTTACCAGAAACTCTCGGATCACACCTATCCGATGACCACAAACTAGGGTGAAATCGGTTATCAACCGTGGGAAATATTGCAACAGACATGTGAGTAGTTGGAAGATATGTAATTACGACAACTCTCTCCCTCTCTCAATGCCGACCGCTTGTTTTATATTGAGTCTATCATTCACCACCACGTGGAGATTTTGTTGCAAGTGTTAAACCAGTGACCTTCAAACTAAGCCCTACAGCTGAGAAAGTCCAAGGCAACTTATCTCTGACAAGATGTTTGATGTCCATTGTGGCAAACTGCCGTGTAATATCTCGTGTCGAAATGACGGAGAAGATTACCTTGTTCACTCCAAATTGGTGATCCTCCAAGTTTCAACCACGTTTTGATCTTTCCATATCATGAATGAACGGTTTTCCGTATTGATAATCAGACTGTGGATATGGCATGATGACTGCGGTTCATTCTCAAAGAATGACCCACGATATACTACATCGGTAGTTAAAACAATGTTACGGAGATTCATTACGGTTTCCTGCAAATTCAATCTTCAAAACCATGACCTACCAGAGCTGAAGTATAAACTGTTATGTCTGCTGATTCGTCAATCTGTGGTATCTACTGCTGACGCGCTCCAGCGCCTAATGCCGGAGAAAAAAGACTCACAGAAGGGAACACGACCGCTATATTCCGAACAAACGAGTGCGAGAGCAAAAGTTACAACGGCCCCACGCTATTTAAAGGGGACTTTCTGACATTGATCCAGGCTGTTTGATAGGCGTTAATGAACACCCATCAACATCGATCGTGCCTCTATGAAATGCCTGAACGCTGATCACATTCGGTCGTGCTTCTGTGGCGTGCAAGAACACTCATCAGCGTTTGCTTAATTGATTGAATGACTGACTAACCTGGGTGCTTGCCGGCTTTCCTGTTGAGATTTTGGTGGAGCAGTAGGTTCCGGGCGTTCTGAGGTTACATTCAGGAATCCGACATTCCTGATACAAAATATCATATTTAATCGTTTATACTGTTTACGGGCTCTCACACACACCCAAAAACACTTGTAACCGCTAACGTTCTGTCAAAATTTTGTCTACAACGCAAAATTCAAAGCAACTAGTCACCGAACAATCAACCCAGAATTTCATGGTTGAGTCCTTGCAGTTCACCAAGACGACCAAAAAGCCAGGGTTTATTTTTTCTACAGAAGGTATAACCAACCGTTCCCCAACTGAACGTTTTTTCCCCATGCAGAACATGGCTAACGAGCAAAACTACTCTAAATGAAACCCAGGTGATCATGATATGCTCATGCCGAGCGTCATACGTGGGTCCTACGACAAGGCATTTGTCGGACAGAATGCGAGAACACGATGCCGTATCTCCCGGTGGTAGTGGGAAAAAACCAGGCTCAAGCGCGATGACATCACATTTGGCCGAAACCAGTCATGTCATAGACAAGGAGCAAGACTTCACCATCATAAACCGTGTACCTCTGAACCGATCACGACTGGTACGGTCCAGACTATTATCGATCGCAGAGGCATTGGAATCCGACTGCTGAATCCACAAATTTGCATCCAAAAGGAATTTGTGCGACCTATGAACTTGAAATGACCTACGAAACATCCGGTCCTGCAAGTCTGTCTGACATTGACGTCACTTACTTGATTCCGTGACCCATTGACCTACGCCCCCATCCAACCCCCCTACTTTGGTTTCTATTTCTCTAAAGTGTATGTAACCAGGATCTTAACCTTCTTCACATGATATCTGGTACCATATAAATTTGTGGTGTATTAGCCAAGAGGAACAATCACAGAAGACAAGCTTTGTTCGCTACATTCTTCGTTCTCATGATCATGATATAATCAGTCAGCTGGGATATTTATAGAGTTGCGTAGAAGCTTCTGACACACGACCGCTAGATTTTCAGCTTTGCACAAAAGAACTGCTCCGGGAAACAAATGAATGTGAACTATTTAGGCGTCGTTCAAGCTTCCTGAAAAACCCTTCGGGTCACTTGATTTAAACACCAGTGTTCAACACTGAGGTTTCGCTGCCGCACAACCGTACGCCACCACGAGGAGCACAGATCATTGATTTCGCAAGGTTATTTCTGTTTTTGGAAAAATGGGATAACCGGTTAGTTAAGTGGAACCAAAAAACGACTTGCCGGTTGCCGGAAGAACGGTGAAGCCAATGGGATGCTGGATCGGAGTGGTTTCACTCCGTTATCACACTACATTCCATAGTCTAGATATGGCTGGACGTCAAATCTATTTCAGGTTGCACATATCCCATCCGCAACATCTTCATGAGATGACGACCCCCTGAGTATCAGCGCTGCCAACGATTTATCCGACTTGAAAAACGCTGAATTATTCCAATGCCAGTCTAATCCCGTCCGACCCTCCAAAATTTGTCACAAGCAGGACCAGAGGTTACGGTCTCCGGACCCCGAATAGGTGACTTTAGGGACATCCACTCAGTGGATGCCGGCGCATTTCAAAATGCTGATCCGTAGTATCAGAAGAGGTTCTTCAGAATTTGTACTTTCTATTCTGTAATGCACAGCACCCTTCTGGAACCCGACCAGTCAGCGTGTGACAACAAAAGCAGGCGCTGAGCAATGTTTCGGAATAATTTCATACTACTAGCTGAAAAGAGTAGTGAAAATAGGTTTCACTTCCTGAAGAGAAGCTGCCGATAGTGGCGGTTGATGTGGGCTAATGGCCTTCAGAGACCAAAACGGAAACAAGAATCCCGATTTTGATCGGTAGGCTGTTCAACTGGTGATTCCGTTAATCAATCAGTTACATGTTTAGCTGGGTATTTATTCAATAAATCAATTAATTTGGCTGTTATATGCTTAGTTAGTAAGTTGGTTGGTTAGTTAGTCAGACAGTTCGTCAATTAGATCGCGAAGTTTAGCTCCGTGAACAGCGGAGCGGCGATCTCCTATACGACTGTGTAGCAGACCGTACAGTCCCACTAACCTAGGAATACCGGTTAGATCAAATGACGAAGTGGGCATGAATGCACCGTCCCACAACCTCGACTTCTTTGAGGCAATGCACCTAAGGTATGCTCTGATGTCGTTCGCCAGGCAAGACGTTTATCGGGTGGGTAGTCTACGTAGATCAAAGCAATCAAATACGTGCTGGCCGGGTCGAGTGAAGTCACACACATAATGAGGCGAAAAAATCAGTAAATCGGTCGACACAGCTACCATGCCAGCATACATGAATTTAAAATACCAATGGATGCGCATCCAAGCCGTTCTTGAGAAGCAGAGTGTGAGATGCGCGGACAACCTCAACCAAATTGCTGGGAAGCATGAGTGCCTGCAGGTTTCCAAGTTCTACCTTGTCATTAGCAGTGAATATTGCTGATCACCACTCACTAAACTTTAGGCCAACATTGATGTCTTCTTTATGCGGTGTACCCGAGTCTGGATAGTCCCTTGATAGCCTGATGTGCTGAGCGGAACCGCAAAGCCTATGAATCCGCGAATCAGCTGATCTGTTGAGCATTGACGCGTACATGTGTTCCTTGTGCAGAGACGAAAACGGGCTGCTTATGAAGCTTACCGGGGATAAAAACCATCTGTCAAGGTCGGTCGAAGAACAACCAATTAAATCTATCCCAACGAAAACGGTTATTTCATTGGCAGTTGTGTAGACCAGTTACGTTCGGAGCTGGTTCTCCTAGTAGCTAAAAAAAAGCTTGAAAAGCACTGGTCTCGAGTTGCATCTATATCTCGGCTTATCAATAGCCGCGCCGGTGTAAGAACTCAGGACATTTGACCCCTGATCGACATTTATCCAGCGGGATGTAAGCATTCGTGGCTCTACCTGGCTGAGAGGCCGGTAAATCGACTGACAAAATCTGGACAGCTACTTGGTTGTCATTCAGGCATCCGATCGGATCGTTCGGGAGTGAAACTTTGTTTGTCTTTTTAGGCTTGATGATCTATCCGCCAAGAAAGGTAAGCCACGTGCTGCCCTTCGTTGATGTGAACGCAGCCGAGAAGATAGGGGCAGAACAACAACTGCTCAAACGAGTGATGTGAACAAATGGTCACAAGGGACAGCTACTTGTCATTCAGGCATCCGATCGGATCGTTCGGGAGTGAAACTTTGTTTGTCTTTTTAGGCTTGATGATCTATGCGCCAAGAAAGGTAAGCCACGTGCTGCCCTTCGTTGATGTGAACGCAGCCGAGAAGATAGGGGCAGAACAACAACTGCTCAAACGAGTGATGTGAACAAATGGTCACAAGATCAAGACTGATTCCAGCTTGACGATCTCGACAAGTAGACGTGTCGATTTGCCTTTGGGGTAGGTAAATTCGACCGGTGCCAAGATATGAGAGCATACGGTTCGGAATTAAAGCAAGACCAACTTGTCACCAGTTGGTGCGCTTGTTTGTATGCCCTAAACGTATTGTCACCGTATCGGAAAACTTCGAAGTTGATTTATTGAATTGGAGCGAAAGCTGTCGCAGATATTCGCATAAAGAATGCACCACGTGCCAACAATTGATAGATTTCGGGAGTCATGGGACACCGTTTGGTGCTAGGATTACGTGAAAAACAACTCAGCTCATTTCAATAATCGTCAGGCTTCCCACCATGTCTTCACTTAACAACAAATACTTCACTGCACAGTGCGTCAAATGACGACATCATGTGGCAACGGGACACCGAACACATGAGGAGTGCCTGCCTGCTTCACTGCACCGTCAAATGACGACATCATGTGGCAACGGGACACCGAACACATGAGGAGTGCCTGCCTGCCTGCCTGCCTGCCTGCCTGCCTGCCTGCATCGACTCCGAGAACGACTCATTACCAAGGCGCCCAGCATCAAGCAAATGCATCGCGTCATCAAACCTGAAATGCGAAGCCACATCAAGACACGACAATGGTACATCAACCAGGATGATACAGTAGCACTCGCAATTCAGAAAGACTAATCCAACAACCTCATGAAACTCGGAGTAACAGTCACATCATTGTCAAAACCATAGAGACATACACAAGTCGATCATACTTACCGAACAAGCAATCTCAAGTCGTCTTCTGTCCAGCGCCCGCACATGCGATGCCAAGCGATATCCAACTAACAAACCAGGTGAACGAACGAATAATAAGACTGTTAGCAAATCGAATCAGATACAAATTACTGCTCAATCATACTGCGGTCAGAATAGAAAGAAGTCACGAGTCAGAAACACGGACAGGTATGCATCACACACGGTCACTCCTCATACGGTCAATCCACATACGTACACACACGAAACACACGCACCCATCCCTAGGAATTACCTCGAGCAACGCCACGTTCATCCACCGAGCAAATTGTTCGCCACGACCACGGAGGCTGTAACGATAGGCAATAGAGAAAAAGTGCACTGCAGAAGAGTGAAACACATATCAGTACCATACACGCAACCAAGTGATATATGGAAAGCCACGCGACACACAGAGGTATGAAAACGACATGACACGACAAACACTGCATGGCAACCCGGTCCCGACTGCACTAGCTCGCCCCATTCCACATTCATGGCCATTCACGCGGAAACCTCGTCGCACACATAAAAGACTATTTATTCAAACACATCCGGTCGTCGAATTTCAAACGGTAATCGCTTTGCTAAAGGACGTTTGTGACCAACACACCAGACACCTTGCAATCCGAACAGTACGACGACGGAACAGCTTCAAGCGAACAACGCATGCTGTCAGTCGGGTGCGAGGCACGTTATATTCAAAAGCCTACACAGAACAAGCAGTCTGACAAAGGTGAATCGCGAACGACGCACACATTTCAATGACTGAAAAATAACTAAACCTCACAGTGACTCCATTCCAATATTCCACAACATTTCGCAGTCTCGAGTAGCTGGGCATAGTGTCTGTCATGCGCAAACACAAAAAACGCTGACGAAACATAATCTCTACTCTAGAAGTATAAAGAGAAATTCACTGGGAACGCGATCATTGCGATGGTCAACTGCCCTGCTAGTTCAAAGTGAATACACAGTCTACAAGAAATCAGGTGTTTTAGGCATGTGCGCAATGTGTTCTACGTCGATACCTCTCAGCAATCCAGCTTCCACTGTGAATGGGGAACAAGACAGCCAGTCCCCAAGACAGTTTCCTAGCCACTAATTCAACCATTTCTCAGAAACACTCCATGTGTTCCAATCGAACACTTCTCACCACCCGAAAACATAAGTCAGCTATTCCGGCGCCACGGACAAATACACCAACACTCATTCACCTAACCTTAGTGGGAACTCATGTAATTCTGCAGTTCACGAATTCTCCTTCTGCTATTCCGCGTGCATCCTATACAGCCTGACTAACAAGCCCAACTCCAGTGGATGCGCAATGGAACAATCACTCCCAGTATACATCTCCAGTTCGACGCACCCAAACCTCATACTAAAAACTCTATCCACCTGTCCTGCTCGGTATGAGAACCACATTCGTCCACCCCCAAGCAGTGGGACAACCGACTTCGAAAATTCAAACACACTAACCAACTCCACTGCTGAATTCAGCCAACGCAACTTTAAACTCCCGATCGGACGTCCGTCATTGTCAACTCTGTCGAGATCCAAAGTCTTGTCTTAGGCTATCAGTTTGTCTTTAGATCACCAAAATATGCATGCTCACCGGATCACTCACTATCTACGACAATGAGATTTGACGTGCTTCACCTTGACGCTTGTTCATTCAGTGTGCTGCTGACCCAGCAGACTGACTTATCTGAGTGGTATTCAACCTTTACTCAAACCCCTCTAATTTGTACATCTATATACTCAACGTCACGATTCCACAACAAACATTCTATCGTCTGAACCCGTCTCCTGTCTTTCGCGTTCTTCGTGTCTCGATGTTTTCAGTTCAATCGGGATTTATTCAACCATCAGGGTGCTGACACATCCGGCTGACATCAAAATTACTAAACAGTAAAGTAAAGTGTAGCCCAAACAACTAACCGTCACCGTATGCGCCAGCCTTTCGACGTTCCAGGAATTTCAAAGGTAACGACTGAAAGATCTGGTTCCATGAATATTCAGAGTAGTTCCGGAGTCATTTTCACTGAATGGTTGGTTAGCTCGACACTAACCGGAAACTCATTACCCAGCTGGGGAATATGCCGTTGGTTTTGACCATAAATTTGTAAAACTGATGACTTTATGGTTTTTGCTAAACATTTTATTGGGTTTGAAACTGTTCTTAAGAACGTGGTAATATGATGGTCGCCCCCAAACGGACGATGAGGATCCAGACGAAAGAAACGGACGTTAATCAGCAAAGGTATTTGATAGCAAACTTGATTCAACTCCAGAACAACGGGCTCTTATGTGGCCAAAGTCGATCGATAATTCACGCGAAATCCCCTGGATGATACATCATTTATCTGTTCGTTCATCACATCACTGAAAACGCCCATAGATACAAACGCGTGAAAACCTGATACAAGTAATATTATTGCAGTAGAGTGGGTGTACTTTTTGTCCACACCACTTTTCTATCGTAATTCAGGTTCGAGAGAACAGGAAACGATCGTTTGCCTCTTGCGCAATCAATACGTCCCGGAACATTTGCTTGAGAGTGACAGAGAAAGTGGAACTGAGTGGACGAGTCGACGTGTGCGAAATCATACGGTACTCTGGTCGCGAACCAGGAAGATGACAAATCAGCTACTCTACGTAGGATTCACTAAGCAACCGCGCACCGCTGATTCACGCGGTCACGTACAGATCAGTCGGTTATTGGTTAAATGTACCATGTCGATTTGTATATACTATATCAAAGAGTGTACGTCCAATTTAGCAAAGAGCTTGCATCCGTGCGATGTGGACCAGGTGCGCACTATAATCGATTATTGCAACAGCGAACCGTTCATTCTCTATTCAAGAATGAAAAGCCATCACGATCGTCTGCTCCTACAACATACAAGCATGCATTCAGATCCCTTTCGCGGAGGGTGAGTGAAGATACTCATAAGCCGATGTCCAAACGTGAGTGTGAGAAAACATCCTCAGGCCAGTAACTTTCTGGAATGGGAGCTGGTCGGTCGGCGTGTTGGTATATTTTCGCTGTGATGTCACCACTATCGTTCATTAAATTTGAGTGAAACGCTTTTGAAGATATTCGCATGAAGAATGAATTGCAAGTCGACGGTTGATTAGGCGTCGAATGTCCACTTGCATGATGTCAGCTAATGAATTTTGGTACTCTTATGACGGCTCACTCAAACGATAGTCGGGCCTCCTAACGCGTCCTTACTTGACAGTATGTACGTCATTGTACAATGCATCACGTGGCGGCATCATGTGTTAGCAGAATTGCGAATTCATGAGAAAAGAGTGGCACACTGCATACTGTAATGGATGAATGTATTGTTCAAGGAAACAGAACATTAGTCGGTAACCACATATGTCATCTGGATTTTTCACATTTGCACGTGATGCTGCAATCATTTACCGATTTCATCTTCACATCATTGTTGTTTGTTTACGGGGACAAACAAGCGATAAACAACTTACTGTTTGTTACCCAGACCGGTTTCCAGCTGAGCAAAACTCACCGGCAGTCAGAGAGTTTAGACTCACTGGAATATGACCTTCAAACTTTACATCTTGGATCGCCACTCAGTTATCGGCTGTGGAGCAGCGTGAAACTTTGCACAATAAGACGCACGTGACCGGCGACGTATCGATTCGCGCCGTGTTCAAGTGCAATCTGGTGTAGACTTATGCGGTTCTGAACCAAGTTGTTGTATAACACCTAGTTTCTGTGCATTGTTTGGTTTTTAACCCACCTTGGTGAGGTGTTATTGGCAACCGATGTGCTTGACTGCACCATGTCCTACAGTTAAACACCAAATCTTTCCAGCTTCTCCGAATCGGCCATTCGGCCTACCGCATTTTACACACAAAGTGAGTAACCCAGAGACTCCTGAAGGGACGTGTTTGAGTCTTTGAAAATCGAGGCCTGAGCACAATAACTTGAGTCGGCTAGGACTAACGAATTTATAAAAGAGGTGACCAGGAGACGGGTTTTTCAGTCGAGGCTCAAAGAATGTATGCAACGTTGCAAGTTTGCATGGCTGAGTCAAGTATTATGGGCACAAAGAAACGAAACGAGTGCCGTTTTCCATGCCTAATTTGAGGGCGGAACTGGGTATGGCAGAAGAAATTGAGGGAAGTTAGGAAAAAAGTGGGCGCGATTGTTTCTGTTCTTTTTCCTCGATGGGGTTCACTAGGCCGTCCTTATGCTTGTCTTCAGATACTCAAAAATATGACGGCTAATCGATGTGAGTGGCATTCATGCTGTCAGTTTCAACTAAGGTTGACTGACTGAGTGCTGAAGGTGCAGGCACCTAGGACGTTTGTTTAGTCCGGTCGTTGATATTCCTCTCTGCTAAATTCTAGCTCTGAGGAACGCCAAAAGAAATCTGAGGAACTTGATGAGTGTTAACGAGAGACTCAACTGAATCCCTCGTTTGAGCTATTCGTCACCTGAATGTACGACACAAAGACTGTGACTTGTGTCAGTTGGTACGACATTTGAGATCTGGCTGTATGTTTTCCGCACGGAACACACTATTCATAAGATTACTGAAAATCACCCGACGGCGCGCGCTCGGGTTCGTCCTTCTTGGGGTTGATCAGATGGACTTGAGTTCCTTTTGTTCTGTTAGAACATCATAAATGAGAGATTATTTGAGTCTGTTGCGAACATCAGTGTGACCTTTAGATGAGTGTTTTTTGATGTTCAGGTAAAAGGTTCGGTTGACAGGAACTCGGAGCTTGATGAGTCTCGAAAGGGCTAAAACAGTGGTGGGTAGCTCAAGATCTTCCATCAGTTTCTTCGGTCATAAGTTGATTAACAAACCAGAACCACCCGATCCTCTTTTCAGCCATCTAACGTTTTGTTTTTGGGTTCTAAATGCGATTTCCCTGTTCACTTTACTCTGGCATCGTGAGCGTGAACGTGTGAAAATGTTCATCATACTCTTGCTTGGTTGCGAGTTAAGATTTGTTAGATTCTTTTACCGAATGACTGAACAAAATGAAGATGTTTTCACGTTAAGTCGTGTGGATGCTCATTCTACAATAATTTCTACAATCAGCAGGCAGGCAGGCAGGCAGGCAGGCAGGCAGGCAGGCAGGCAGGCAGGCAGGCAGGCAGGCAGGCAGGCAGGCAGGCAGGCAGGCAGGCAGGCAGGCAGGCAGGCAGGCAGGCAGGCAGGCAGGCAGGCAGGCAGGCAGGCAGGCAGGCAGGCAGGCAGGCAGGCAGGCAGGCAGGCAGGCAGGCAGGCAGGCAGGCAGGCAGGCAGGCAGGCAGGCAGGCAGGCAGGCAGGCAGGCAGGCAGGCAGGCAGGCAGGCAGGCAGGCAGGCAGGCAGGCAGGCAGGCAGGCAGGCAGGCAGGCAGGCAGGCAGGCAGGCAGGCAGGCAGGCAGGCAGGCAGGCAGGCAGGCAGGCAGGCAGGCAGGCAGGCAGGCAGGCAGGCAGGCAGGCAGGCAGGCAGGCAGGCAGGCAGGCAGGCAGGCAGGCAGGCAGGCAGGCAGGCAGGCAGGCAGGCAGGCAGGCAGGCAGGCAGGCAGGCAGGCAGGCAGGCAGGCAGGCAGGCAGGCAGGCAGGCAGGCAGGCAGGCAGGCAGGCAGGCAGGCAGGCAGGCAGGCAGGCAGGCAGG